AACAAAAGAAAATAAAAATATAACAAAACCTTAAGTCCTCATTAACAAGAGCATGAATAGTTAAATTGTATTAGTCATCCAAGAGGCAACGCTGTGATTCAGTTTCAAACAAATGAATAACTAAATCAGAGTGAAAAAAACATTACTATATCCCTCCATTTTCCAAAACAAAGTATCCCACCATCTAAACAACACAGTATTTCATGTGGGCATACAATTTATGTGGTAAAATTCTAAATAAAACCAAGAATAATATGAAATCGAGATTAATGATCTCTATGGCCATGGTCATCTGTGAATGACCATGGCAACACTAATAAAACCTTAGTCCTCATACTAAACAGTAAGAACAGAGGCCACTACTTGATTCTCCTTTATCATATGTCTTTATTTGTGTGAAATACATTATTAATAAAGAATGGGCGGAAGCTTATAGCTAAAATGCTCCATAGCATTATAATTGAGTTTAAGGACATTAATTTACTGTAGATCCAAGCCCTCATTGTGCCAGTGGATGGGAAATTCAGTCTGATCATTGGTGCCCTAGTGTGAAAGCTATATACCTCCTAACTTGTGCAACTGAGGTATTCTATGAGCCAGCTCTTCAGGGAGGCCTCTGTAGGCTTATGTTTTAGAGTTCTTAAACGCTTCTATCTCCCTTCCAATCCACAGGCCAGAGGTAGGGGAAAAGGAAGGTTATAGGAAAAGGGGGTTGTAGACCTTTTTAGATTCGGATGAGTCCACTTTTCTTTGTCTAAGAGTGGACAAAGAAGTCTCATCCAAAGGCCATCACCAAGCAGCAGCACAAATCAACATAACTCAGCAGAAACAGCAAGATTCCACTAAATCCTAAGGAGTCAGAGAAAGCCGCAAGACTCAGTTGGATTGCCCCGCGAAGTTCTCTGTAGCATTTCTCTTTGTGAAGTGAAGTATCGAAAACTAAGACCAGTGTTGCAGTGATGTCAATCCTAAAAGGGTTGTCCTACTGTCCATGGGCTTCTATATATCTCCTCTCCCCAAAGTTCACCCATTTTTTCAGCTGGCCAAAGTCACTCCCCTAGCACGAGACAGCTCCCCTCAAAAACATCATGTTGTCTCTAACACAACAGCTTCCAGCAAAACATCACATGACACAACCGAGTCTTCAAAGGAACCAGAAACTTCCGCTTCAGGCCTCTCTGGTCATCGGTGGTCATCTGCTTCCCCACGCAGCAGATTGTCTTTATAGCCAGCTCTGTGTCTACCCGTACTTGGAATGCAAAGGTACAGGGAGTTAGAGCTGGCAGTCTGTAGGCTGAGCTTTTTAGCTCCCCAGAGACATCATTCAGCTAATCCTCCAGAGACTTCTCCAACAAGACTAGCAGCTTGTGTCCAGGCTGTTTCTTTTCAGCTCTCTGTAGATGCTTACACTAGTGCTACTTTGCTAGCAGAATGTTAAGATTGGTATCAGCATTATAACAAGTTCTTTCTCGATGTACTGTCCTTGGTGACTTTCTTTAGCCTCTATCTAAGATGGAATGTTAGAATGAAGATTTCTCATCCCCATATTTCTTGGGCTCCCATTCTCCTCTGGCTCTCCTCTTCCAAATATTTTTCTAGGTAGAAAAGTAAACTCTGGATAGAAAGTGATCATGCTTACCCTTCTCCTAACTCTGTGGGTTTTTGTTTGTTTGTTTGTTTGTTTGGTTGGTTGGTTGGTTGGTTGGTTGGTTTGGTTTGGTTTGGTTGTTTGTTTTTTGCTAGTTCAATATCATCTTTGCTTGAGAACAAACCGTGATCAAATCTAAAGCAGAGTTGTTATTACTCAACACAGATATAAAAGACAATGTCATCTAGTCCTGGCCCCGACTGAAAAAAGCGTTAGTACAACAAAAATCCTTTCTCCTGCTTGAAGAGTTTGCATGTTTCTTTGAAGAGACACCTGATATCTCAAACGAAAAGATCTCTATCTAAAACCTCAGGGCACTTGGCCTTCACTTTGGCAAATAGAATGCTATTTTTGTCTTTTGCCTTAGAGACATTTTACCCTAAGTAAGAGGCTTTTTCCTGCTAGCCTGTTTCTCTTATTCTTGCTTCTTTAAAAATACAACATTGATTTAAAGGTTTCTATTTAATTTCACCTTAATCTTCACTTTATTCCAGTAGTACACATTCACAAATTGTTCAGTTTGACATTTTTAAAAAATAAATGTACCCTCCCCCCCAAAAAAAAAATTAACATTCCACCCTCAGCTCCTCTCCAGACGCAGTCTCCTCCAGATCTTCTGGCTCCTTCTCCGGTTATTCACTCCCTCTCACTAAACAACATGCTATACAGCTGTTTACTGCTCCCCAACTTTGGTTAGCATGAATTCACTCTGATGAAAGATGAAAACCCAGGCTCCTTGGACCTCTCCCCCTGCCCCAGCTCTTTCCACTCATCTACTCATTTCCAATGATGTTATCCTAGTGTCTCTACGTTTGTGTCATCTCCTGTGTAAATATTCAGCTATGTAGTGTGTTCAAGTTATTATTTGTGCTCTTAGCTAACACTTTTCTTCTAGAGCATCATAATGACTTGGCATCCCAGCTCTCCCTGCCCGTTTGTGCTCCTTGAGTGGTTTCTTGTTCTTGGCATTATCAGCCCTGCAGTCTCCTGGCATTCCTGCCCCTATCTGTATGAGCTGCTTTCTAATCCTCTTCGGAGTTGTTTTCCCTTCACCGGGATTCCTATTTTCTCGGTCGTCTGTCTCCTCCTCTTGCTTTGGAGCAGCACCCCAGTGCCTTCTCATACAAATTTAACAGTAACAAAATGTTGAGACCTTTCCTTGGGAATATTGCTCCCTCTTATTTGTTGGTGACTTGAATGTCAGGGGTTTTCCATTGAAAATTGTGTGGTGATTAACTTACTCATCATCAAGAGTGGGACTGGACTGGGATGGCTAGATCCTCTCTGGGAGTCAAGGGAATGTGTTAGATTGTAGGCTTCACTCTCAGGTTTCCCAAGCATCTGTCAGCCTTTTCTCTAGAATAGGGAAGTATCTCTGTAGGCAAATGTCTTAGGATCTTCTTCTGACATCTGTCTATCATTCCAGTAGCTAAATAATAAAAGGTCACAGAGTCTTTGTTTTATATAAACACTACTGTAGCAAACTCCAACTTCAGAGCACAACCTCTCTTCCACCAAATGTGCCAGGGGTCAAAATGACAAGGAGATGATCTTGGTTTTGTTTTGTTTTGTTTTATTTTTTGGGGGGAGGAGGTTATTGTTGTTGTTAAGAATTTTTACATGAATGAATGTTTTGTTTGCATTCATGTCTGTGTAATGTGCACGCCCACAGAGGCCACAAAAAGAATATCAAATTCTGTGGAACTGTGATTAAGATGGCCTTGAGCCTCCGTGTCAGTGTTAGAAACCAAACCCCAAAGCATCTATCTCTCCAGCCCCCAAACCTTGTAAGCATGAGAAAGGAATATGTGCCTGACAAGAGAGGAAGTTTCCATGCAGACTTTAGACAAGTGTTTCTGGAGATTCACAAGGGGGAGGGGGAGAGCATCTGGTCAACATGTCTGCAAGGAGGCTTTTAAACTCTCGCTAGCTATGTAGACTTGGACACACTTCTTAATTTCTCCATCTGTGGAATCTCTGTGCATTCTTAGGAGAATTCTGTGGCTGTACTATGGAGCACCTGTTCAGGCTGCTCAGCACAGGGAGTGGCACTTGACTCTTGGGGTCAACACAATGGTCATGTGAATAATTGTTAGCACCTGTAGCCAGTCTCTGTGGCTATAAGTGGTCTCTTTCTAATATCAAGGATTTTTTTATACCACTTCTCATTTTCTGCTGGACCCTTTCCCAAAAGCTCAATTCAAATGGTAGTGCCACCTCTGTTATTTTAATTGTCATCCCAGTGGTATTTTTTAGGTGTTTTTTCCTAAATATTCTCCCAGAATCTTGCATACTGAAATGTGGCACTGGGGAAAATTGTTAAGCACTACAATGACTTCAGTGACATCAATCCAAACCCAAGTCTCAAAGTTAGGTTGAGATGCACGTCCGTGACTCTTCCTCTCCCCTATTCCAGAAGCAATTCCTGTAGTCCCTTGGGAACTGATTTCAACATACCCCACTCCTCAGTCTTCCTCACTCCTGGGAAGAAAGACACAAAAGGTACATTCTTCCACTTGGTTGCTAGTGCCCCTTTCTTGGGGCAAAAATGAAGTTCTTTTTTTACCTCAACTAATCATTCACTCTCTTTTGCCTTACTCCTTCTCCACCTTTCTCTCTGATCAACCTTATCTGGACCTTTACTTGCTTTGTTATAGGGCAGTCTTCCTCTTCAAATCAATGTCTGCACCTGAGTTCTCAGCCCGCACTCAGTAGGTTTGTTTGTGTTTCCAGGGCTTTAATAGGGAAAGGATTTGGAGAAGCTGGGATGCTTGAATTCAAGTTAGGAATTTAGAATGTCAGACCTAGCATAGGATCTGATGAGAATAATGAACCTACAAGGTCTATATCTGGCATTTTCTCTTTGTAATTTTTTTTTTGTAAGTTAATGTGTCTTTTTCTCATAGAAGTGACAAACCCTTCTCTGTGCTAGTAAAACCACCACAGAGGGAAAAAAACTGTTAGAGAAAATGCATTACACTTGCATGCTTTTGAAGCTCAGCGTCTAAGTCTTGAAGGAAGTTTGTACAGCCCATGCCTGTTATATCAAAAGCAATCTAACTAAAAGACTTCTGTTTAATATACAGAATGTAAACCATCTCTGGTCAGGTCACATATTTTTAAAATTAATCCTAATACCTGGGAGGCAGAAGAGGATAGGTTTCTGTGATTTCAAAGCCAGCCTGGTCTCCATAGTTAGTTTCATGGCTGACTGTGCTTGACAATTTTTCCCGATGTCATAGTACAGCATGAAGATTCCAGTAGAATATTTAGGAAAAACATTTTTTCTAAATTTCTTATTTAGTCCCAACCACTAAAAATAAATTTAATGAAATTTCTGAAATAGGCTTTATTAGCATAAGTTGTGGTCAATTAAATGTTGGGGACCAACATTTATTGGTTACATTGCAAACACAAAGTAATTTGGAGACCATGAGTGGATGAAGGTGGACACGAAGATTCAAGAGCACACCTGTGTAACAGCCCCCACACACCCTTACTTCTCTTCTTTAGCTATACACGAAATGGAAGGCTGCACTTTGCCTTTGCTTTCTGTAGATGATCTTTGCTGAATATATCCCTTAACCGATCTTTAAAATTTTCCCCAGCAAAATAATAGAGAAAGGGATTAAAACAGCTATTAGCTGCAGCCAAAGCCAGTGTGATGACCATGGCCTTATGTAACTCATCTCCACATGAATATTCATTCCATGTGACCAAGTGGAGGGTCCTCAGTGCGTGGTAAGGCAGGAAACAGAGGAGGAAGATGATCATGGCAATGATGATGGTGATCAGTGCCTTCTTATGAGAAGCTCGCAGACCTGATTCTGGAATCTCCACCTTTAACAAGACCCGGATGATCAGCAGGTAGCAGATGGTAAGTGTGAAAAATGGAAGCAGAAAGCCTGCCACTAACGCAATGTGGTTCATGATCAGGAGCTTATTAAACTTTTGGGGATTCAGCTCCAAGCATGATATAATGTTGTTCTTCTTCTCGTAGCCATTCTTCAGAAGCATCACTGAGGAAGCCATGATAAAGATCCATATGATCCCACAGAGGATCCAGGCACTCCTGACGCTGGTGACATGTAGCAGCTGGAAGGGGTGAACAGTGGCCAGGAAACGCACAACACTCAGCACAGTTAGGAAATAAATGCTAGTGTACATGTTGACATATAAGGAATAAGACATTATTCTGCAGGCCAGGTCCCCAAATATCCAGTTGGAGCCTCTGAAATAATAGTCAGCCCTGAATGGCAGGGTACTTATGAACAGGAAATCCGAAATGGCCAGGTTGAGCATGAAAACATTCACAGATGTGGACTTCTTATAAGTCTGTAGAAAGACATATATGGAAAAGCCATTTCCCAAGGCTCCCCAGACAAATATTATCAGGTATATAATGGGGTAAAACTCCTTCTTGAAGTTTTCTATTGTGCAGTTTCTGTGACTATTATTGCTGAAGGCCCCAGTTGCTTCCATTTCGAAATGGAGTTGGACAGAGGCTAGGACATGAGTTTTCTCTCTAGATTGGATTAAAAAAAAAACATACAAAATTACTTTGTGCAAGTCCACTTTTCTTCCTAATTCCTAAACAAACATTTACCATATTCAGTCTCACATGAAGGGAAGCAAGTTTCTCTCACACCTTCTTCTGGCCTCCACAAGCATCAGGTAATGCACACAGTAGATGTACATGCTTACAGGCAAAACATCCATAGCATAAAATAAAAATGTATAAGTATTTTTTAAAGGATAGCTAAATAAAGTTCCCCAAGCAGGAAGTGATAAATAAAAGAAGTAACCTTAGAATATAAAAATAAATAAATAAATAAATAAATAAATAAATAAATAAATAAATAAATAAATGGAAAGAAAAAAAAGAAAAAGAAAGCATGGACAACAGGTTCCTGTTGGTTATGGTATTATGCATTTAAATGCTAAATTACCAGCTTCCAAGATCTGATTGCAGCTCATACTAGCACATTCTCACATACACCAAGTGATGTTGTGTAAACTTTGCTCACCAATATTCTCTGACAGCCTGTAATGGGGCAGAGGAGAAACAGGCAAGGCTTAGTTTCTGGGCTTGGGATCAGATGGGGACCACAAGATGGAGGGAGAATCAGAAAAAGAAGCCAGAGAGAAGGAAGTCACCATTGGGTAATATAACTCATGAGCATGTGGCCATGAGGGCTGGCCTGATGGAACAGAAGCAGCCAGGCAGGAACAATTACAGCTAGTAACTTGGGGTGTATAGCTGGGAAATAGCAAAATAGCTTAGAGGGTTGCTATCTGCCCAGTTACTGCGCCTTAAAGCTTTTATAATTCTAAAAGGGCTCTATCTTGATTATTTGGGAACTATCTGGGGTAGAGAAACCCTCTAGAATATAACATCCTTTCCACAACAGATTCCCTTTTCATTTTCAAGACTAAGTTGTATTTGATGCTTGAAACCAAAACTATCATACTGTCTGATGTAGTTTTTAAATGGATGTAGAGGAATTATGACTAGTTATTCATGAAAGGAAATAAAGATATATGAAGAGGGTTAAGATTTTATACCACATTTGAACTGACAAAATTAAGCTAAGAGATTGTGATAAGAATATTTATATAATGTAATAGCATAAACTAAAAATTATACAAAGATATATACTAAAAAAATTAGAGATGGTGCTCGCTTCGGCAGCACATATACTAAAATTGGAATGAGAAGATTAGCATGGCCCCTCAAGGATGACATGCAAATTCATGAAGCATTCTATATTTTTAGCCTATATGCAACAAAATTTGAAAATGTAAATGAAATGGGCAATTTTCTTGATAGATTCCATTTACCAAAGCTGAATCAAGATCAGGTAAATAAATTAAATAGTCCTAAATACCCCAAGTAAATAGAAGGTGTCGTCAAAAGTCTACCATCTGAATAAAAAGCCCAGGGCCAGACGGTTTCAGCACAGAATTCTACCAGACCTCCAAAGAAAAACTAACACCAACACCCTTCAAACTATTCCACAAAATAGAAACAGAAAAAACATTAACAAACTCATTCTATGAGGCCACAGTCACATTGATATCTAAACTGCACAAAGAAAGAGAACTTCAGACCAATCTCGCTTATGAACATTGATGCAAAAATACTCAATAAAATACTCACAAACTAAATCCAAGAACACATTAAAGATATCATCCACCACAACCAAGTAGGCTTCATCCCAGGCATACAGGGATGGTTCAACATATGAAAATCCATCAATGTGATCCACCATATAAACAAACTGAAAGAAAAAAATACCACATAGTCATCTCCTTAGATCCCGAAAAAGCATTTGACAAAATTCAAGACCTGTTCAAGTTTTGGAGAGATCAGGGTTACAAGGCACATACGTAAACATAGTAAAAGCAATACACAGCAAGCCTATAGCCAACATCAAACTAAAAGGAGAGAAACATAAATCAATCCCACTGAAATCAGGGGCAAGGCAAGGTTGCCCACTCTTTCCATATTTCTTCCACATAGTACTTGAAGTCCTAGCTAGAGCAATAAGACAACTAAAGAAGATCAAGGGGATACAAATTGGAAAGGAAGAAGTCAAAGTATCACTATTTATAGATGATATGATAGTATACATGAGTGACCCCAAAAATTCTACCAGAAAACTCCTTCACCTGATAAAACACCTTCAGCAAAGTGGCTGGATACAAAATTAACTCAAAAAAATCTGAAGCCCTCCTGTATACAAAATACAAAAGGGCCGAGAAAGAAATTAGAGAAACAACACCCTTCACAATAGCCACAAAGGACATAAAGTACCTTGTATAACTCTAACCAAGCAAGTGAAAGACCTATATAAAAAAAAACTTCAAGTCTCTGAAGAAAGAAATTGAAGAAGATATCAGAAGATGGAAAGATATCCCATGCTCATGAATTGGTAGGATTAACATAGTGAAAATGGCAATCCTACCAAAAGCAATCTACAGATTCAATGCAATTCCCATCAAAATACCAATACCCTTGTTTACAGACATTGAAAGAACAATTTTCAATTTCATATGGGAAAAAAAGCCCCAGAATAGTTAAAAAAACAATCCTGTACAAAAAAAATATTTTCTGGAGGCATCTCCATCCCAGATTCCAAGTGGATCAAAGACCTCAACATAAAACCAGATACATTAAATCTGTTAGAAGAAAAAGAGGGGAATTGCCTTGAACTCATTGGCATAGGAGACAACTTCCTGAACAGAACACCAACACCACAGATTCTAAGATAACAATTAATAAATGGGACCTCATGAAACTAAAAAGCTTCTGTAAAGCAAAGGACACTGTCATCAGAACAAAACGATAGCCTACAGATTGGGAAAGGATCTTCACCAACCCTACATTTGACAGAGGGCTAATATCCAAATATATGAAGAACTGAACAAGTTAAAAATAAACAAACCAAGTAATCCAATTTAAAAATGGGGTGCAGAGCTAAACAGAGAATTCTCAAACAGAGGAATATAAAATGGCAGATAAACACTTAAAGAAATGCTCATTGTCCTTAGTCATTTGGAAAATGCAAATGAAAACAACCCAAGATTTCATCTTATACCCATCAGAATGGCTAAGATAAAAAACTCAAGGGATGATACATGCTGGAGAGGATATGGAGAATGGGGAAACCCTCCTCCATTGCTGGTGGGAAGGTAACCTTTTACAACCACTTTTGGAAATCAATCTGGTACTTTCTCAGAAAATTAGGAATACTGCTATACCCCTCCTAGGCATATACCTAAAAGATGCCCCACCATTCAATAAGGACATTTGCTCAACCATGTTCGAAGCACCCCTATTCATAATAGCCAAAATCTGGAAACAACCTGGATGTTCCTTAACAGAGGAATAGATACAGAAAGTGTGGTACATTTACACCATGGAATACTACTCAGCAAGTAAAAACAAGGAAATCATGAAATTTGTAGGCAAATAGTGGGAACTAGAAAGATCATCCTGAGGGAGATATCCCAGAAGCAGAAAGATGCACAGGGTATATACTCACTTATAAGTGGATATTAGCCATATAATATAAGATAAACATACTAAAATCTATAGCCCTAAAGAAGCTAGGCAACAAGGAGGACCCTAGGGAAGATGCTTAATCCTCACTCCTAAGGGCAAACAAGATAGACATTGAAAGTAGGAGAAGACAAGGAACAGCACAGGAATCTTCCACAGAGGACCTCTGAAAGACTCTACCCACCAGGGTATCTAAGAAGATACTGAGACTCATAGCCAAACTTTGGGCAAAGTACCAGAATCCTTATGGAAGAAGAAGAAGATAGAAAGACCTGGAGGTGACAGGAACTCCACAAGGAGAACAGCAGAACCAAAATACCTGGGCACAGGGGTCCTACAGAGACTGATACTCCAACCAAGGACTGTGCATGGAGAGGACCTAGACCCCTGTTAAAAGGAAGCCCATTGGTTGTTCAATTTCCAAGTGGTTTCCCTAGTGAGAGGTATAAGGGTTGTCTCTCACATGAACTCAGTGGCTGGCTCTTTGATCACCTCCTCCTGGGGGGGAGTGTAGCCTTACCAGGCCATAGAGGAAGATGATCCAACCAGCCTTGTTGAGACCTGATAAGCTAGTGTCAGATAGAAGGAGAGGAGGTCCTCCCTATTCAGGAGAGTAGGGAAAAAGCATAGAGGGAGAAGAGGGAGGATGGGTGGGACTGGGAGGAGACAAAGGAAGGGGCTGCAGTGGGGATACAAACAATAAATTATAATAAATAAATATATAAATAAAATTCAATAAAAAATTAGAGATGAATTAAATTCTTAAAGAGTTCAAGTAACCAATGTGAAGGAAGGGAAAAGAAAAGCAACATAATCAGAAAAAAAAGGATTTATAATTCCAATATATTGATAAGTACACTAAATATCAGTGGTCTAAATACACAAATAAAAAGATGGATTAGAAAATTAATAAGTACCCAGATATATTGGTCCTTGTGACGCTCCTGTCCTCTCCATGTCTTACTAACTCCCCCTTCTTTCATATGATTCCCTGCACTCTGCCCAAGGTTTGGTTATGAGTCTCAGTATCTCCTTTAATACCCTGGTGGGTAGAGTCTTTCAGAGGTCCTCTGTGGAAGGCTCTTGTCCTGTTTCTTGTTTTCTCCTACTTCCAATGTCCATCCCACTTGTCTTTCTAAGTGAGGGGTCTTTTCTGAGACTGATTCTCCAACCAAGGACCATGCATGGATATATCCTAGAACCCCTGCTCAGATGTAGCCCATGGCAGTCTAGCATCCAAGGGGGGTTCCCTAGTAAGGGGAACAGGGACTGTCTCTGACATGAACTCAGTGGCAGGCTCTTTGACTCCCCCTACCCTCTGAGGGAGAAGCAGCCTTGCTAGGTCACAGAGGAGGACATTGCAGCCAGTCCTGATGAGACCTGATAAACTAGGGTCAGATGGAAGGGGAGGAGGACCTCCCCTATCAGTGGACTTAGTGAGGGGCAGGGAGGAGATGAGGAAGGGAGGGTAGGATTGGGAGGGAATGAGGGTAGGGGCTACAGCTGGGATATAAGGTGAATAAACTGTAATTAATATAAAAAATTAAAATTAAAAAAAAGAAAAGTAAAAAGAAAGTACCTATTTATATACTTTCCACAAGAAACTCACCTCCCTTGGGGTTCATCTTGTGAAGCTATGTCTCAGTATATTCGATTGTTGATTGCTAAACCTGCAGAGAGCTAAATATTTGCCAGATCTTGGCATTGTTATTTCTAGGGCCCATCGCTGATCTTATATTTTGTAAATACTCATTCTTCCTCACTTTCCTATTGGTTGTAATAAACATTTGACAGCCAACATCTGGGGCAGGAAGTGGAGGGTGGAACTTTCAAAAGAAAATGTGATGCTGGGAAGAAAAAGAGAGAGAGAGAGATTCACCAGCAGAGGCAGAGATGAATGGATGGACCACAGCAGTACAGAGAGGCAGAGCCAGCCATGTGGCAGGACTATTATTCAGATCAAGCTAGAAAGCTGCCTAGAGACTGCCCAGCCAAAGGCCTAAGCTTTAAGCTATATTAAAAGACTCCCTGTCATTAATTTACCACTGGCGGTTCCGGGAAAGTCCTGCTATACATCTCAGTTAGCATCATTGGCAGGTAGAAAGAAAAAAGATACAAAAACAAGTTACTCAAATCAAAACAAATTAAAAATGGCTCAAGATTTAAGATCAAAGAAAATTACCAGGAAACAGAAGATAAAAGAAATAGTCTCTACTGATAAAATAACATCTCCACTATGAAGACATGTAATTTCCAAGTGGGGTGCACCATGCAACAGAGCTGTACATATGTGAAGCAAAACTGACAAAACTGGGGAGACAAATCCAGTTACATTAAGGGAGTCTTAAGACTCCCCCCAACCAATGATAGAGAGCAAGTAGGCAAACACTTAGAAAGGACACCAAGAAACTAAAAGCATCTAAACCAACAGATTGAGCTGGCATTTATAGAACAGTTCCTTGAACAAGAACAGAATATACACTCTTCTCAAGTACCCACAGAACTCATACATCATCCGCACAACTGCCCTTACCTACTTTCATGTCTTGTCTTTTGTTTTGTGACCCACTGATTTTAACCGGGATGTTTGTGTGACCACTGGTTTGAAACGGTCCATTTAAACCTGGTGAGTACACAACGGGAAACAGCACCTACCTCGCCTCTAGAATCCATCTCTAGCCAATAGTTCAGCAGAGAGAAGGAGGGCCTTGAGTCCAGCTGGTGACAAACCCAGTCTCCTGTAGGCCCTGTGCACCCAACCACACAGCTGCTCTGAGTTGGTCTTTCCAGCAGCTTCCTCGTGCCCAGAAGACGGTAATTTGTAGTCCTTCCTCCTTTTCTTCCCACTCTCAGATGGCCCCACCCCCTGAGCTCATCCCCTCTCCCTCTTTCTCCCCCTGAGCTTCAAGCAGGATGCTGCAGTATCCTATTTGGGGCTGAACACTCAGCTATCATTTATTCCCAGCACCTTGAATGGCCATCAATCTCTGTTTTCACTGCAAAGAGAAGCTGAGTGAGGATGAGATTACCATCTCTGCCCAGCTCAGGTGGCTGGCGGGAGAGTGGGAGTACGCCAAACATTTTTAAAACACCAATTATTTGGATATATGTGTACCTCTAGATATATAAAGGCATATTAAGAAAAGATCTGTTATAGATTGTTATACAAATATTGCACAAAACAAGTAAAATTAGAATTTGGGTTTTTATTAAAATAATTCTTATTTTATGCCAGTGAGTAATTTTTGTCAATAAAATATTGTTAATTTTGTCTTCTTACATATCCTTTTAAGTCATTTTCAGAAAGTTCCCTTGCTTTCCCTAAAATCAAAGTCCCTAGTAACTGTTGTTAATTGTGATTTTATAATATTGCCAATAACTATTTCTTGACTCTAGATAAGTAGGACTTACATCTTGTCTCTACTAGTCTTGATTCTTCCTTTCCCAAATTCAGGCCCCAAAACCAGAATCAAAAGGCCATTAGATGTCTTTTGGAGCTCAAAATCTTTTCGGGCTGCTACAAGTGGTTTCTAACAGGCCGTCTCCTTCATCCTAGGACAAGAAAGACAACATGGATAACCAGATTTCTCTATAGCCTTTAAATTTTAATTAATTTAAAGCTAATGTGAGCACACTTGTCTAATGAACTTAGTCAAAAAAAGCTAATAAATGAAAATGAAAGTTGACTTTTTTTTCATAATCAACTATATTTAAGTAAAATGTGCTAATAAAATATATTCCAAGGGTTATCCTTTTTGGTTTTTAAAAGGGTGCATATTGGATGGAGAGAGTTCACACAGCCCTACCCCCTAGCTAAGAGTTATTGGTAGTTGGTGATTAGAGAAGGGATGCTCAGTCTTCTTCCTACATTACCCAAGCTCCGGTGAATCGCCTTACACTCATGCACGTGCAGACACTGTTAAATAGACTGGGTAGGCAGTAAAAAAAAAAAAAAAAAGGGGGGGGGAAGGGGGTTCTGGGAGATACTAAAAAAGGAATGCGGCATATGGTCAAAATACACTGTATGTGTCCCTAAAACCCTCAAAGAATAGATAATTAAAATAAAATACTAAAAGAGCTAATAGAAGCATATTTATATTTAAACACCAAACATAGGTATTGTAATCGGCTATGTGCCAAAAGATTTTTTTTCTTGTAAGGGTCTAGGCTCACAGCATCACTTTTCTTTTCACCCAGGCAACGTCTGAACAAGCCTGCAAAGGTGATGACTGAACTACAGATGAAACATCAGTTTTGTATTTGGGTCTTTCCTTAAGTCTAGTGGCCCCTGTGCGCCTGGCTAAGAGTCATATCTGCTGCAGCAGGACTTTCAGAAGCCTTAAGCCCACTTAACTGAGTTAGCTCTGGGCCCTAACTAAGCTTAGTAATTTCCCTGCTACTTTTATTGGTCGAGAGAGGAGACGCTCAGTCACCCCTCCTGTGCAGCTTTCTCGACTTTCCCCCATGCATTACTGTGACACTGTAAATTCTGTGATCATACCCTTTCGTGTTTAAGAAAAAGATGCCAATTATCCGGTACCTCTATTAGGAAATTACTGTACCCTCTATGGACCTTCTAGAATCTCCTCTGATACTCCTAACTTAATTTTGTTTATTACTGGTCCATAAGTAAAAAGAAAAACTAGAACTTGTTAAAATTATATTTTCACTGACTTGAATTTGTTATTGAAATACAAATTTCTTCTAGAAATAAAATGTTTGGATGGCTGAATAAATTGTCCTCAGTTAGACCTGCCAGCTGAGAGAAGATTAAAAAGTATTGATGCTGATATAAGGTGTATGAATCTGGATGACTCCACGAATTCAAAATAAGATCTTTTTAGGTTAAAAATGAGCTATCCATCTAATCACAGGCTTGGAAGGCAAAAATGGGATACTTCCAAGTTTAAGCCAACTAGGGTTACATAGTAAGACACTAGAAAGGGGCATTGCAGGTGAAAAGAGGCTCTTCAGACACTCTAAAAACCACTATAAAACGGTAAATGAATTGAAGAACCATGAGGTAACTTGCTATTACAGAAGGAGCTATAATAAAAATCGCATTTGGCAAAACTGATTCACAGTATTCCCATAACCAGCAGTGGTAAATTAGCAACACTTCCCTCATACAGCAATAAGAGCAGACCACGAACAATCGAAGTCCTGAGATCCTCTGAGCATCTATCTCCTAAAGGTCTATGAAGTTACTCTGCCCTTTGTTTCTATCTGTATTACAATCATAATGATCCTTATCTTTGCTGGAGAGCTGTGTCTGTAACAATTGTGGAAGCAGAGGTAGCTTACTTTTATCTTTCCAATTCAGGAAGTTCCAAATCTTCTCTCAGCCAGAGACACATTCCTCCCTGGTAGGACTGTCAAAGAACAATACAGTTTTTTCATCACCATCCACAAACATCAGCAAAGAAAGGTAGTAAGAAGCAAGGGGATTCTAAAACACTCTATCTGCTGCTGTCCCCTGCTGTGATGGTTTGAATGAAAATGACACCCCCATTAGACTCATAGGGAGTGACACTATTAGGAGGTGTGGCCTTGTTGGAGGAAGTGTGTCACCGAAGATGGGCTTTGAGGTTTCAGAAGCTCAAGCCAGGCCAGTGGCTCACCCTCTCTTCCTGTTGTCTTCGGATCCAGATGTAGAGGTCTCAGCTACCTCTCCAGAACAGTCTGCCTGCCCACTGCCATTATGACAATGGACTAAACCTCTGAAACTGTAGGCCAGCCCCAATGAAAGGTTTATAAGAGTTGCTGCGGTGATGGAGTCTCTTCACAGCAATAGAACACTGACTAAACCGCCTGCCCTGCCACCGGTTTTCTCCTGGAGAACTCACCAGTCACTTCCCTGTGAGTTCCTAAGATGTGGCTTACTTGGTGGTTGCTTCCACTCCCGGATTCTATTCTTTTATGTCTCAGTGGGAGGGCTATATGAGGGCAGCCTCTGTGTGATTTGAATGTTAGGTATTTGGTCTTTTGGAAATTATGACATCAGAGGAAAACTCATGAATCTCTATGAAAAAGACCTTAGGAGGTCTGTGAGAAACCAACACAGCCAAAATCCTTCAGTGTTTTAAGTTTGCATTATGTTACCCAACTAAAATGGCACTCGTAGCCAGATTCTTGGAGTGTGTTACGTGAAGAATCCTCATGCTGAATGTCTGGGGAAATTCCCCAGTTGCTGAGTTTCAGAAGAGAACAGCATCTCCTATGACCTGTAGGACAGGCTGCTGATTGTAGAGACAGGCAGCTTCACACAAGATAGAACCAAACACAAGTCCTGATCTTCCTCAGTCCCTCTACATCCGGCTTGTCCACTGCTGCATTGTTTTCATTGTTATCTATTATCCAATTCAAAATCCTTTCTCCCACTCTGTCATTTTAAGCCAATCATGGTCTTTTGCTTCTCAAGGGGAAGAAACCAATTTTTCTTTGTATTTTTTTTTCACATAGTTCATAGATACTATTCTGAATGCTATAGGTTGCTCACAAAGTTTAATTACTTTTAGAGGAAAAAGCATTCTAAAAATAAATTTTCTTCCCATAGCCCACTGATGCTTAAATTTATGCTGCATAATTAATTACAGACATCAGTCTGTTAATTTTTTTATTTATTGTATGTGCAGTCACGAATGAAAACATGTACAAATGCCTACACACATACACACACACACACACACAAATGTCATACTGTATCTGTATAAGTCAAAGGGCATCCTGAGGAAGTTTGTTCTGTCATTTTACCACATGGGTCCCAGTGATCAAACTTGGGGCCTCAGACTTGACAGGAAGCACCTTTATCTACTGAGCTGAATTACCAGCTGCAGACGTCATCTTATTTTTAATTAATTTATTTACTTATTCTACGCTCAAATATTATATCCTGACTGTTCACCCCTCCCTTCTCTCTTCCAAGTCACTCCCCCCATCTCTCCATTTCCCCAGATCCACTCCTTCTCTGTTTCCTTTCAGAAAAGAGCAGGCCTCCCAGGGATATCAACCAAACGTGACACAACAAGTTACAGCAAGTCTAGGAATACACCTCATATCAAGGCTAGACTAGGCAACCCAGGAGGAAGAGTCACAAAAGCAGGCAAAAGAGGCACTGTTAGGAGTCCCACAAGAACATCAAGCTATACAACCATAACACATATGCAGAGGACCCAGGTCAGACTTATATAGGCTCCCTGATTGTCACTTCAGTCTCTTTGAGTCCCTATGAGCTCTGGTTAGTTGATTCTGTAGACCTTGTTCTTTTCCTTGACCCCTCTGGGTCCTATAATCCTTCCTGTCCCTCTTCCATGGGTTCCTCCAAGCTCCACCTAATGCTTGGCTATGGCAGACAGCATCTTATAAACATCATACAGTGGCTTCTCATTAACACACTTCTACTGAGATCTTTATGCCGTAGCAGAAAATCCTAACTCTTTCGAAATGGGAATAAAAAATTTAGCCTCTATTGGGTTAAAAAAAAAAAAAACTAGTTATTCCATTTCAACAATTACCCCACAAAGCTTATTCCTGTCATAAGCAATGATTGTTAAATTTCCCTAATAACACAGTCTGCCATGCTGGGACAGTCCTTATGATACACATGAACTGTCCTGTGAGACAGAGAAAATTACCACTCATTCCGTGAATCATGTTCTCTCCTCTACTCCCCAAAGGATTCACAGAAACCCCGCCCCCAAACCAGCAAGCACAGGGTACACAAGCAAAGCCATTGAGGAAGACCCAGACCCCTTCCATTATATATGCTAGGAGCAGCAGTTAGCCTTGCCAGGGTGATAGAATTAGGGGTGATCTTCCAAAATTTCTGTCTAACCCCAGAAAAAAAAGTTATATTGGTTTTGTTCTGATTTTAAATTTTAGTTCATTAAGCAGAAATGCAATGGGTAATCACATTGCCCTTGTTTTCTCTTCTTAGAAAAAAGTGAGAACTTCTGGCTGCATCTACTTAAGAACCACAGAGCAGCCCCTGAGTGTGGAAAGGCCCCCATATGGTTAGGAAGAACACACAGGCATGCACACACACACACACACACACACACACACACAGAGAGAGAGAGAGAGAGAGAGAGAAAGAGAGAGATGGAGACAGACACACACACAGGGAGAGAGACACACACAGACACACATGCGTGCGCGCACACACACAGAGAAACAGACAGACAGACACACAGAGACACAGATAGACAGACAAATGCAGACAAATACAGAGAGAGACAGAGATATACACGGAGAGAGAGTCAGACACACAGACATACTCACACTACTTGAGCAATGTATACTCATTGCCTGGGTATTAGTTTCTAGAATCTATTATAGAACTGATGCCCACATTTATTTCTGCAAACTCTGTGATCTTTTGTTCCCACAGGAAAACCCTCTGTTTATCTGATTAAACAAAAACAAAAACAAAATAAGCTGCATAGGAACAATGTTAAAGTCCAAAGAGACACGGGCTTTGTTTTAAGGCTGCAGTAGCTGATACAGCATCTCCTTGCTACTTCCGCAGCCTCCTCTGTGGGCAGATACATTCAGAAGCTGGTTAGCTCACAGGAGGTTTGGAATGCTTCTCCACCGGCTCCTCACTTGCTCCTTGCCTGTCATGCTTGCGCGTCTTCTTTTCATTCTATTTCCAACTGACCTCATGGCAGCGCCAAATCTGTAATAATTCCTTTCTAACACTTTCTTCCTGAGACACTCATTTTCCAGCTGTTTAAATATAAGATGTGAGTATCCCTCCAACAATTAGAAGGGACACAAAATAGAAATAAAAAGATTTGTTTACTTACAAGTCCTGGAATGTACAGGAAGCCACAAACACACCCAAGTCAGAAGGCACAGGTAGGGAGAGAGAGGAACTCACAGGAGAATGATCTGATTGCTCCAGGGCTTCCCATAGGGAGCAAAGCAAAGCAGACCCAAGATCCAGAAGTAGCAGTGTGTCTCTTCACAGTGCATGTAGAGAACAGGGGCCCGTGAGAACAGCCAAGTAGGGTATATTAGCTGCCCTACAGGAAGCCGTCATCAGGAGGTGGGAGGCTGCAGCAGCCGTCTGGATTGCAGCCATCTGGGTCAACCACACTGAAGACTGAGGTGGTAGAACCAGAAACTTCTCACCATGACCGAGTCCTGACTCTGATATGAAAAATCTTAAATATTTCTTTTTCCTAGTTTAATTATGTATTGGGGGTGTAGATGTGTGCACATGAGTGCCCAAATAAGCCAGAGGCATCAGATCGCCTGGAGCTGGAGTTATTAGCGATTATAAGCCAATATGGGTACTGTGAGCCTAACGCTGACCTCTACAAAAACAGCACATACTCTTAACCATTGAGTCATCTCTCTAGCCCTTGCAATTGAGTTTAAAATAAATTCTTCGGCACCATAGAATTAATAAGAATTCACCACATCAATAGTGTGCACTCTCCCTTATTGCAAATCCACTAACCCTACTTTACTCAATTACAAGGCATTTTCATAATTCCTTCTGACTAGATGGCATTGCCCCTGAGAGTCCATGGAATAACCCAACGAATAAGAAACATATAGGAAAGCACGATTTCAAGCTGCCCAGAGATAGAGAAACTAACTTCAGCTGCAACAAGAATGTTTTCCAATTTTCCTTCAGACATTCATGTAGAAATGTGACTCATAAAAATAGTTTGGTTTTATTATTTTTAGAAGCACACACTTGTTTGAGATAAATTATCTTTATGAAACTCACCACTATGGGCAATGAATGAACACCATTAAAAAATTTAAGTCCTGAGAAAACTATGGTCTGAATATAATATAAAAAACTATGGTCTGAATATAATATAAAAAAAAGTTTTGTTTGTTTGTTTGTTTGTTTCTGCACTTCCCAAAGTACTTTGGACAGAACATGAATCCCATGAGATGCTTTGTCAAAGGAAAGACTCCCATAGCCAAGTCAGCCTGAGAAATACAACGCTCTCTACTCGCCCTCCCTTTCGGGAATTTACCATGTTCCACAGGGCCCTGTAAAAGCAGAAGCCTGGCTTAGGCATGGTTTCTCTCCTTTTGTTTTGTTTTGTTTTGTTTTGTTTTGTTTTGTTTTTCCTACAAAATAATTTTTAAAACATTAACACATCAACTATCCCACAGAACTGCTTGTGTTATTGTGCAACTTCATAGAGTGTGACTTTGGAGGAAGCAGAAAGGAATACCGCTTGGTAGAGAGATCAACCACTAAGAAAAGTCGGGAGCTGTGTCTAAGCATTTGGCCTCTCCGAGCACTCACCAGCAGGTAAATCAGCATTTCAAAGCCTTGAGATTGTGCTCACATCCTAGGGTTATCTTAGCAAAGTACCATAAGCTTGGTGTCTCAAAACAC